AAGCACAACTCAGATGAAAGAGCAAACATGTGGCTCCTGAGGGTTTGGACTCTTTAGGAGTAAGAGAGGGATTTGCAGGGATTTCAGAAGTTATAGACAAGCACTTCCATGTTTATGAAGGTTTGAACTGCTTTCTAAAGCCAAGGCAGGAATTAAACAGCAACCAGGCTCTGGCACATACACCTTCCCCCCTGCTTTTGGAGCACTGCAAACTGGGGACCTAGGTTATTCTTGCTGATTCCTGCCCTGCTTGCTTTCTCTTAAGCCATGTAAAATGCTAATTGAGGGGAATGGTATTTGATTGTGAGGACAGAAGGAAAGAAAGAGAAAAACTGAAGGGGGCAACCTTAGAATCACATTTAAGGATCTTCAGGGTCTCATTACACCAGGTCTGTGCCATGAGGGGAAGCCTGCTTCCAAAATGGTGTGCTCAGGTCCACACTGTCTGCGGCCTGTCCTGCCACTGCCTCAGGCCAGGCCCGGGGCAGTGGCAGCAGAGGACAAGGGAGCTCCTATAGAATGTAAATGTATTTTTACATGCCAGACATGTCTTGAAATCTTGGCTGCCCGCCCTGGCAAAGGCTCTGGCTGCCAGGGCTGGCCTTGAGATGCCTGGATTGCGGCATGAGTCATGCAGGTGGGCTGGTCTGGTTCGGCCTGACTGCAGGAGAGACATTTCTGACATGGCAGAATTCCCCTTCTGGTGTGCACCAGCACCTGAGAGTAATGTGCCAGGAATTAATCCTCGCACTCCTAACACTAGAAAAGCTTGTTTCTGGAAAGCAGAAAGGACATCAAAGAGCATCATCCCTCATGCAAAGGGCGAGGAGAGATTAGCAATGAAACTACCAACTTCTAGTGATTTTTGGCCTGGCAGACAGCAGTGAGCATCCTCAATGAAAGGAAAAAATGAAGCAGATTCAGGGATGGTCCTGAGAAAGGACTAGCTCCAAGGTTTGGATTGGAAGGGACCTTAAAGCTCATCTTGTTCCAACCCCTCGTGACATAAGCAGGGACACCTTCCACTAGACCAGGTTGCTCCAAGCCCTATCCAACCTGTTCCAGGAAGGGCAAATCTGAAGGATGTGGGCACCACGAGGTCTGGCAGGCTGTCTCTTCTCCTCAGCTTGATTCTGCAGAAGGATGCTATTTATTTCCCCTCGTCAAGCCTCTCCCAGGCTTGCCTCTGTGACTGAGAGCTCTCTAATGCTCATATTTTCCAGGATAACGGGTCAGATTTCAGCTTCAAAAATTACTTGCTGCTGGCTGGTGGAAGCTTGAAGATAATTCCAGCTGCATTCTACTGATCCAGATGTAAAACAGAGGTTGCCTTCCTCAAAGGTTGTTTCAAAGCTGCCTGTGCACAGAGAATTTGTGACTTAATCCCTTCCCGGTCTCCAGGACAACTGTGCAAAACAATTTGTCTTGAGGGTTTTCTTGTCAGAAGTCTAGTTTGAGTTTTTTTATCTGCTCCATGGAATGGCTTTGCCATGTCCCAATGCCACCTTTATGACAGGTAGAGGTCTCAATACTAAGGAACAAGCCTTTGAACTTTCTGCCATAGCCTGACCTTGTTGTGCTCCTGCAGGCCTCTGACACCTAAAACAAGAATTGAGTGTCAGGTCATAAGAGAAAAAAGAAAACACAAGTAGGAGACATCAGCTGATAAATAACTCCACAAGGAAAGGAGAAACATGACCTCTGTGTGGGGTAAATCATACCATAAAAGTAGAAAATGGGCTTAATGACCTCCTCATGCCTTATTCTTGGTGACAAAAGAAACCTGAGTTTGATGAGGCAGCATCTTTTATGTGGCCACTAGATTATGGAGAAAAAAAAAAATGTTCTTAGGCAGAGGCTGAAGTCTGTGACTTTACCAAGACTGCTACAGCTTTGTGCAGTCAAATCAGATGACAATGAAATGGTAGATGGCCCTCAAAGTTTCTTGCATGGTTTTTCCCCTCTACGAAACTCATCTCAAGGAACAGTTTATCTCCCAAGACCTTTAGAGGCATCCAGAAAAAAGAAGAAGAGTTATTTACACCCCATCCCTTGAAGTGTTAAAAGACTGGACAGGGCTTGGAGCAACCTGGTTGAGTAGGAGGTGTCCTTGCTCACAGCAGGGGTTTGGAACAAAATAATTTCTAGGATCCTTTCCAACCCAAACTATCCTATGATTCTGTGATTCTATAAAGTGCCTTAACCAAAAGTGAAGGGAAAAATAAAACAACTCTCCAGATGTACGTGGTAAAGGGTAGGAAGGGTCTGCTTTACCTCCAGCTTCTGCTATTTCTTTCCATTTTCCCTTTTTAATATATTGCCATCAAGAAGAGACACCCCAGCTGCATTCTTGTCTGGTTCAGCAGCTTGGATGTTAAACGCCAACATTTTCACAGGAATGACAAAGCTGAGAAATGTTTCCTGCTGGTGTCTGCAGAGATGGATGGGACCAGGAGTGCTGCTGTGCTGAGGCTTTGAGCAGGTAGAAGGGCTGCAGCAATACTTTGGGGGGAATAAGTTATTCCATGCATTCCCAGTCCTCAGTGGAAGGGCTGTGCCACTGCCACAGCATGCTCCTGGGAGCATCTCTGCAGTTTCCATGTGCGACAGGGATGCCCACACATGTAAGAAACTAAAAGAAACAAAAAACAAAAGGAAATCGAAATTAAGCAGTGTCCCTTACTGTACTCAGAAGTACATCTCACCTTCCTGGTGAGGCCCGCCTGCCTGCAGTCCCCCTCCTGCCATACATCCTTCAGCATCTCTGCTCAACAAATATACATTTTCCACGGAAAATCATAGAAAACAGACTCTGTGGATCCAACCTGAACTCTGTATAAACAATGAGGAGAAATTTATGAGGGGCAAGACCCTGGTAGAGCATCTATGTTTGCCTGTAGGCTTAGCTATGGACAACCAGGAAAGGCACTGTCAAGTGCAGATATAAAAAAACTGTCAAATTAAAGCCTTCTCAGCCTCACCAGACCATAACAACCTATTTAGTCCCATTATTACATAGATCCCTAAAATCTAAGTGACCTAATAATGGATGGGAATTTGCAAAAACTAAAATTTTTCCCCCACCAATCTCCCAGAGGTGCACCATGCTTTGGTGATACTCCTTCATCCCATGCAACATTATGGGAGGCCATCAGCTCCCTAAATCCTTTACCTATAGAGAGAGGATGATGATGATGCGTGTGCTGGGGGCAGAGAGGGAATGGTCTTCCTCTGTGGCCTTGAGTTTGCTGAGAATTCTGTGTGTCAACCCCATATTTCTGCATTTCTTAATAGGTTACAGCCTTTCCTCTACTGTTTGTTCATGATTCTTTCTCGGGAAAAGCCATGAAGTTGAACTAAATAATGCATACCTTAAACTAAAGCATGCTTGGGAATATGAGCTAAAGCAAGCCCCAAAGCACAGAGGAGCAGAAGGCATTTGAACGCTCAGTGATTTGGCTGTCACAGCTAGGAGAGGCAAGGCAATGGACCTCTGCTCCTTGGGAAAGCCGTAGGCACAGGAAAGGCCCATAAATACGCAGTTCAAAATCATCCCAGAGCAGCTGGGTATGTCTTTTAGGAGTCCAACCAACCAGTAAAACGGTCTCAGCAATCCTTCCCCAGCCATCACCTTCCCATGAAGGGCTGTGAATCAGTGCTGCCTCAAATGAGGAGCATTCAGTCAGAAGAAAACAGAGAAATGTGGCCCAAATTCTGTTGCTGTTACACAAACCCCCTCACCAAACATCTGGAGAACATCTGAAGTTTAACAAAGCAGGCCCGCAGGCAGAGGCATTTTTGACCTTCCCTGTAATGGAAGCACAAAAATTGTGCCTAAAAAGAGAGGAGTGAATATCACCAGAAATGGAACACAAAGTAAGCCCAGCATATTGGGGCCAGCTTTGTCCCAGACACCTGACAGGGCTTCCACAGTCTTACCTCAGCAGTGCACAAGAATGGCGAAAGACAAGGAAACGGCGCTAAACACAAGGTGCTGGGCACTTCTGAAAAATTCCTGCTTTTCCTGGGAAAGCCGATTGCCACCCAGTTCTGGTTAAAATTGTGTTTCTTCTGGACAAATTGGAATTTAAAGGGAGAATTTAAATTTCTTTCTCTAAATGACATGAGAAATGATGGGGAGATCTGACAAAAACTCCAAAACTGAGGCTCAGAATCTGACATTTTTTGCTGGATTGTGATTTTTTGCTTTCTGCCGAGGGAAAATGCTAAGGGCATGGTTAGGAGTGGAGGGGGGAAATGAACAGAAGCAGGAAAGATCCCTCTTTCCACCTACCCTTTTTAGTAAAAAGCTCTAAACCAGACCCAAGACAGGGAGGTCTTTCCCCGGGTGTTTTTTGCATCCCTGCATTGGATATGGCCCAGGTGGGATGTGAGGGGGAACATACAGCAAGGGGTGGGCAGAAGCCCCTTTTTCCCACCCCTTTCTGCTGGCAGAAGCCCATCCTATGGGGTGGGCATCCCTAGCCACAAATGTGTAGCCCAAGGGCTTGTCCCTATCACGTTCCTCCATGACTGACATGCTAAGGCAAGCCATTAATAGGTACTTCTTCTGCTGTAACAAAAAGCGCCTTTCTTAGGGCAAATGTGAAGGCATTTTTTCCTGACTTTCCATGGAGAGGAGAGCAGAAGATCTGACACAAACAGCTGCCACCCACAGAGAGCTGCACCAGAGCTGCTCCTCAGACTTTCCAGCTGTGAATGAGGTGCCCCCAGTGCCGCAGGGACCCCAACAAGTATCTCCACAGAGATGGAGGCAGCATGACTAAGAGGAGGACAAGAAACAATGTCCTGTTGAATGCCCCCACTGTCTGGGGAACAAGTGACTTTGCATGAATCCACAGTGAAAAGCTGTGACAAGCTCCAGGATTGTCACAGAGGTGTGGGGCCTAGGAGGTTCCCTGAGAACCTTTTAGAGTTCTCTTAGGATGTAAAACTAAGATCTGGGAAGGAGGAAGTCAAGTTGGACAAACACCCAAGGAGAATGTGGAAAACAATTTATTTGACAAAATTCCAAAGTGGACAATTTTAGTAAAACACAGGCATAAAATAAAACTAACTGGTACAATGGGGTTTTGGATACAAAATAAAGAGTTTGGGGTGCCGATACCTGGCAGTCGCTGTTGGTTTCTCTGAAGTGCATGAATTCATAGCAAGAGCACCAATGGAAGCACTGAAACAAAATCTCACCACATTTTCTGTGTGGTCCTGGAAACAACTGTGTAAACACCAAGGGCCCACATCACCCACATAAGTGATAGCACCTTTGTCAATGTATCTGTAGACTGTGAGTCACAGACCCTGGGAGATGATGGAAGCCTTTCCCTTGACTTCACTGGGCTGAGGATGAGGCCTTAATTCAATATATAGTGCAGTTAGTGGGTTTCCCTAGAGCCCAGGTGCCTAACTCCTAGGTGGTCCTGTAGAAACAATACTCCAAGAGAGCTTGTTGGGAATAAGTCAGCTCGGCTTTTTTAAAATTAAAAAAAAATAAAAAATAAAAAAATCCCACTAACTGGGCTCAGAGAGATTTTCCAGAATGGAGCTTGAACCATAAAACAAGTTATCAGGTTATTAATGAGGTTCCTGGTTTCACTGTAGGACCATGAGATCAGTAAGTGAAGGAGTGCAGTTATGTAGCTTCTTTTAGGGTTTTCCCCCTACCCAAAGGCTGCTGCCCATCTTTCCTTTGGTCGGTGTCCAGCCTCCCTGCCCTGAATGGGAGTGTCAGTGCCGAGGGATGCTCCACCACCCATCTCTACCCCAGCCCTGGGAAACAAGTGTCCCATCCCCTGGCCCTGGAGGCCAGAGATGCTTGCACACAAGCTTGGGTAGTGCAGTCTAGCCCTCCCTCCTCCCCAGGCATGGGACATATGAACCAAACTTGACCACTGTGACAACGATCCCCTCTTAAAGCTTGCTGAAGTGTGAATATTTCACTTGAAGCACAGCATTAAGTTAGGATCATTGTAAGCTGGGCAAGTGCACAACTCTGTGTGAAAGAGAGAAGGAAATGAACAACATCAAAAAAAAGTAGCTAAAAAGAGCATAATCAGCCTTAAGAGACCAGGCTAGATCTTAGTGGTACAAAAGTCCTCATCCTGATTCCTTCCTGGCAATAACACAGTAGGATGAGTAGGATGAGGCTGGTATTTGTATTCTGATGGCTTATTGATGGGTGTGCTTGTGTTTTCCTGCTGTGGGGAGGGAGGGCAGTCGTGGGCAGTGAGGGAACTTGAGACTAACAACAGAGACACAGATGACAAAGCAGAAGGAGAAGGGAGGGGACTATGTACAGCCAGGCTGTGGCACTTGGTTATCTGCATAGATGTAAATTCCTCAGGTTGATCAAGAATACCATTAATTTTTTTTTTTTTTTTTTTTTTTTTTTTTTTTTTTTTTTTTTTTTTGATTTGTTGGTTTTCCTTTTTAGGTGAGACAGAAGCAGCTATGGCTTTGGCAGAAACCCGCCCAGATGCTCAGTCAACAGCTATCTTCCTGGAGACAGTTTGGTAGAAGACACCACGCAGCAGAGAGGTGTAGTCGGGCACACGGAAAAGGTGCCGCTCCCCATAAGCCACGTCGTAATCTGTGCTTTTCCCTGTGACCAGGACACGGATGTTTGGCTCGTTGGCTTGGCTGCCCACTGCTAGAACATATATCTCAATATCAGCCTTCTGTGCATCCTGCACAGCCCTCTCAATGGCCCTGGCAGTGATCCCTTGGGAGTGTCCATCAGAAAACACCAGTACCCTCTTCTTGGCTGCAGCGCGGGCAGAGCGCCGGTACAGCTCTGTGATGAACTGCAGAGCAGAGTTCACGTCTGTGGCATCGTTCATGAATTCCATGTTATCGATGGCCTTGGCAATGACTGTGTAGTTGTACTGGAACTGAGCTTCCACTTTCTGCTGATTCCGGCCGCTGTACTGCACCACCGAGACGCGCACAGAGTCGTCGGTGGGCTTGCTGGCCTCCAGGAACCGCTCCGCCAGCTGCTTCACAAACTTCTTGGTGGTCTCAAAGTTTTTGCTCCCCACGCTGGTGGAGCTGTCCACCAGCAGTGTGATGTCTGCTGGCCCAGTGAAGGTGACTGCAAGGTGAAAGGTCCAGGGCTTGTTACACTTTGGCTCTTCCATGGAAAGCCGATGAAGTCACTGGCTGTCTCACAGGCTTCCTGCCTTGTCAGACTCGGGAAATCTCCACTCATACTAGCTTTCTTTTCCCTGTCCCAGGGCTGTCTTACACTTGTCCTCTCACCCATTCATTCCTTCTTTTATTTAGTTTAGGATAGGCTGTAGGTGTTTATTTGGATGAGATAATCTAGTGACTCTTGTTTAAATACAGTGGCTCTCCTTGCATGTCTGGGGAATCACTTCATCCTCCTCACCTCCCATCTTTTCACGGAAATTCTGAGGACTGAATTTGCCTCTGACTTGGAGGTGTACTCCATTAAAACTCTCCCTGTACTCACTTCTCAAGCACCTTTCTCCAATATCCCTGCCATGGAGCTGATTTTGCTTGTGCTTCTGCTGCTAGATAGTGGAAGTATGTAATGAGGTCAGTTGCTAAAACCTGTGAGGGTCACATTCTTTCACAGTGTCCTCTCTAGGTTTGAGATGCCAGAGAAAAAAACCACCTGAGCTTTTCCCCAGCTGCTTTGGGCTGGTGTATGTGAGAGACCCTGAGAGTGTCTGACACATTTTGCTTACCTCTCCAGCCCAGGAACCTCCCTGTTGCAAGAGGTGCCCAAGCTGTGCATCCCCACAAACACAAACGCCCACTTCCCCCATCACAGCACCCACAGCCCCTCAGCGTGGCATGAGGAGTCAATACTCACTTGGGCAGGTGTAGTCAGGACATTTTTTCTCTGTTAAGAAAACAAGAGAGATTAATGTCACCAGCTCATCCAGGAAAAACAATTGTCCCACAGAACCACAAGAAGGGACAGAAGTTCACCTGCAGAAGATGAACACTCACCTTTGCCACCTGTGCAAAGGCTATAAATGTGCATGAAAAATGGTGTGGACAGACATATCCTGCAACAGGTGAGGATGGGGACCTGACCACAAACTATTCTGAGATATGAGATGCCCTTGTCCCTTATTTAACTAAATTTCATCTCTATTCTTTTCCCTCACACCTGCTTAAGAGTGTGACTGGGGGGACACAAGGGAGGGTATTCTGCATTCCTTGCCACCTTTTCTATTGCCTCCAGCCACCGCCTTTCACCCACCTTGGCAGACGTACGAGGTGATGTTCTGCAAGAAGGTGTCATCCAGGAGCTCAGCATAGTTGTCCCTTTGAATGGACAGTCCCGGCCTGGTTGGTCTGCTTAAACATGCGATGTCATTCAAGTGATCTGGATTTGGAGGGTTCCGGAAAATGTCACCGATCCCAAGGGAAACCACCTGTGGGGAAGTTCAAGTCCATCACTGGATGGATTCATTATCTAATGCATTTATAACTGCGTATGCCTGCCACTTTGTGAAGGTGCTTCTAGCGACACCTGTGTCCTCTGCCCTAGCCTTGCATAGCAAGGACATGGAGATACCCTGAGAGCCTGCACTGATGCACAGCTGCCGCATGGCAGGTCCCCTGTGCCCTTACCGGGGTGACATCGCACAGGGAGTTGAGCGGCGTGGGGTCCCGCAGGGTGTCAGAGCGCCCGTCTGTGATGACGATGGCTACGCGCTTGTCGGATGTGAACCTCTGCAGCAGGTTGTCCTTGGTGAACTGCAGAGCCTCCCCAGTGTAGGTGCCCCCAGCAATCCACTGCAGGTTCTTGACTGCCCTGCAAGGACAGACACCAGTGAGCCTGCCAGCCCTGCCCATGGCTACTGGAGGAGCCAGAACATGGCTTGTGACCAGGGAGACACCCCTGCATGGGGATTTGGGTGGAAAACTGGTGAGCTCCTTAGTTTAGCTTCAGCACCACTTATGATGTCACCAGCCACTACCTTCCACTAAAGGACATTTAGATCATTACAGCTGCAGGAGCTGCTGGCCTGGAGATAGAGGATGGGGAGTGAGTAGGTGTCCCTGTGTCAGACCCCACAGACTCACTGCTTGAGTGCCCCGATGTTGTCGATGTTGGCATCCCCCATGGCCACCAGTTCTTGTGTGTTGTCATGGCTGTACTGCACAACGCCCACACGGGACTCCCCAGCTTCAAACTGTGGGACAGAACAGAAACCAATTAGGGGCAGATACTTCAGGGGAGCCCAGAGGCTCAGAATCCTGTTAACGGTTTTTCCTGAATGCCTTCTGATGTTTCTCTTCTGCCTTATTCTAGGCAGGCAGAGCCTTGCCAGGAGTGGAAGCACATTGGGACCAATTTGGCAAGACAGTAAGTGAAAGGAGACCCAAACCTAGATCTCACAGCTCACTGGTCTCAACAGCAGCCACTGGACTCTCAGGTACATGGTGAAATTCTTGGGATTGTCCTGTGGGCAGAGTCAGGAGCTGGACTTGATCCTTGCATTCCTTCCAACTCAGGGGATTCTATGGTTCCATGAGAAGATCTGTTTTCAAGACTTCTGGTTTTCTTCCAACACAGTGATTTTGCTACCCAGCTCTACCCCTTCTGCTTATTACTGGTTCTTTGCCATCCAAAAAGCCCTATGTATGCCCCCCACACAAGTATTCAACAACAGATTATGTGCTTTAGATGTAGTTGGTTATACCTTCAGGAAAGTCTGGATTCCCAACAGCCCTTCAAATCACAGAGGTAAATAAGACATACAGCAGGCTACCATAGAGGAGTGAGGCAGGAGAGCAAGCATTTGTGTCCCTCTTCAGACTGAAAGACTCACAGGGGACAGGATTGCTGGGTTTGGGTTGCAAGGGTCATTTTTAGTAGAGTGCTTAACTGGTGACCTAAATCCAAGTTCTGATGTCCAAGGCTGGACATCAGAAACCTCCAAGGCACTCCAGACACCTGAAATGCTCATCAGGACAAGGGAGAGACTGAGACACTGGTTGAATGCTCAATGAGCCATCTGCTCTGGGATGTGAAGGAAACAGTCTCTTTGCCCCAGAAGAGTGAAACGTCTATTTCTTGACAACAAACTGCTGTCTAACCTCCGTCACTTTATGAATTTGGGAAGACCCACCCCCAGCTTGAAGCCAAGCCTGGTGGAGGCTTTTTGGAGTGGCAGGTCCTCTCCATTTTCCTGCTTGCAGTGAAAAATTAGTGAGTGCACACAAGGATATCACAGGACTCAGTGGAAATCTCACCTTGACTCGCTCATCCTTGCTCAGGCGGTCGATGACTTTGATGATAAAGTCCTTGGCAATCTGGAAGTTCTGCAGGCCAATGCTCTCTGAGCTGTCCAAAACAAACAGGAGGTCGACGGGGCCACAGGTGCACTCTGGAGCAAGGCACAGGAAAGGAGGGACATGTTTTGCAGGGAGGCATTTCCAAGGGAAGCAGCTGATGCCTGCTGCAGACCTGCCCAGCTGGATGCCTATGCTCCATCCACCCCCAAAGCACAGTGTAAGTCAATGCAAAAAAATAGCTGCATAGGAGACTTGAGAGCCAGTTTACAAATTCTTCCAGGTGCATTTGCTCCCCAATAAGACATGGGGCATTTTCAGGCTGTGAGTATCCTTAAACCATGCAGTAATTATTCCATAACCCATTTCCTCATAAGCCTTCTCACTTCTTCCATTCACCCAGCCCAGCAGGACAGAGGTGACATTGGTGGGCTGGAAGAGGCTGACTCAGCTTGCTCTCTTCTTTCTCATAGCTGGAGAACATCATGTGCCCTTGGCTCTCCCTTCAACTTTGCAGTTCCCTTTTTGGACTGCAAACCCAACCTATCACAGCAGCATCAGGGAATAAAGCCCAGCACATTCCTCTGCTGACCAGCACAGGATTTGGAAGGAAGAGGAGAGCTAGATCCATAGTGTGCCCAGAACAGACATCCCAACTGCAACATCCAACTGCAAAAAGGGTGGAAAAAATTCACCCTGCTAGCACAGGGCACCCTGACAACCATTTTCAAATTGCAGGATTCAGCCACATCAGCTTCTAATCTGTGTGGCACCCTCAGGGATTGCTTCCTGCCCTCCTCTGCCTGGCTCATGCCTGGTTGTCCCTTACAGGCATCTAACTACATCTTACTACATCTCCATAGCAGAAGGCAAGGAGCAGGGAAAGGGAGAGGTGCAAGGAAGGAGAAGGACTAGCAAATGTTCACAGAGCAACTTTGCCAAATAATACTCACCACAGCAAGCTAGAGGAAAAAGGAGAGAAAGAGAGAATATTAAAATGCTTGACAAAAGGGCTTTTTACACCCTAAAGTAGACTGCAGGTTTGTGTCTCTACAAACCCACAGACACCTGGTCTGGACAATCCAAGCTCATGGAGGCTTCTCTCCCACTTGAAATATCCAGATTTTCTCCCATTTCAGGTTGTGATGCCCTGAACTGGAGCACCACACAAAGCAGAGATCTGTTTCTGCACATGCTGATGCGTTCTTAAAATCAAAGTTAAGTAAATCACCAGAGTATAGAGCTCAAAGTCAGTTCCCCTGTGTCCTTCCATCACTTCATTACTGGCCGTGGGCCAGAAATCCTCTATAAAACATACGTGCTGCTTCTCTCCATGGCAGGACACCCTAAACCAGGCCCCCCTTTCCCAGGGGGTAATATTAGACCATGATATTTAGGAAAAAAAAAATATTGCAAAATGGCCACTCAAGGATTTTACACAACTTTGCTCATATTTTTCCTGTACAGAACCACAGACAAACCAGTCTGCATCATGTACAAGTGAGATGCAGTTGTATGAGCTACTCTAGAGATGGAGCTGGAGGTCCCTGGATCAAGGGGACTTAATTGTGGCTCATGAAAGGGGAGAGATGCCCATGGATGGCATTCCCCTGCCTGGGGAGAGGGAAAAGTCAGCTGTCTCTTGTTTAGCAAGGCACTGAGCAGGGTGGGAGGAGAGCTACAGGAATACTCACAGCACATCTTCATGATGATATCCAAGATTTCACATTCCTGAAAACAGAGGAAAATAAATGTCTAATTAACAGCAAAAGCAATGCACAGAGCAGACCATCAAGCAGCAACCCAATCCTGTCCCACTCACATCTGGTCCTGGAGGCCCCGTGGGTCCTGGTGGTCCCTGTCAGAGAGAAGCACAGAGGAATTACAGGAACAGTCAGTCCTATCTGTGGCATACTCTAATGATACCTTGCCAAGCAATGCAGAGTTGTGAAAAGCCTCTTGGCTTTCACAGTTGCTGGCCCCTACACTGGGCTTGGAGCAGGGACATCTGCTTGTTTACATGATGGCCTGGTGCTGCATGGAGGTGGAAGGAGGTGATCCACTTCCACATGTGCTGTGTACACCCAGGTGGGAAGGCGGCAAGCACACACAATGTGTGTGCATGGCTGGGTGCTGCTCCCAGAGCACCCAGAGCATGAAGGGATGGAGGGACAGATGAAGGGATGCATGCCACTGGGGCCAACCCAGGTCCTTACTTACCGGGGGACCTTCACGTCCCCTGTGGCCCTTTGCTCCTTTGATGCCACTGGGCCCAGGGGTCAGGTTCTGGAATGAAAATGAAACCAAAACTCATAAATCTGTGTGTGTCAGGGGGCGGCACCTTTCCCTCCAGATGTTTGATGAGCCCTGCTTCACCACTAAAGTGTAATCTGAGGTTGCTGTATGAGGACTTGGAAGGGACACTGGGGAAATCTCCTTCCATGGGGCAGTGATAAAGCTCAGATCACAAGTGCCATCATCATCAGTGCCACCTGGAAGCACACACAGCCTTGCGGAGGTGATGCCTACCTCATCTTAACAAATGTGGAGGTTTGCCAGCTGTCAGACACAAAATGAATACCTGGAGGGAGCTCCCCTTGCTATTCATCAGTCACTGCTCAGAGGCAAAAGGCAAAAGATAGTCTGATAGGCTCTGGCCCATCATTGCCCAAGGCTCCTGCACTGTGCTCAGAGGAAAAGAGGATCCAGCATTGCATGGGTTACTCACATCGTTGCCAGGGTCGCCAGCTTCCCCTTCATCACCTTTAGGTCCAACATAGCCTTTTGTTCCCTGAAAAACAGTATGGATGAGACTGCTGTGTGACTGGCTGTTGTTAGTGCGGTGAAGTTGGTGCTGGTGTGTGGTGACCCTGGGAAAGCTGGCTTGGGACAGGGGTGGAGAATAGCACACAGGCTCCCCAGTAGCAGATTTCAGTGCTCTTGGTGAAGAGAACTTCTTATGTGGCTTTCACTGCTACAGAATCACAGAATTGTTTAGGTTGGAAAAAACATCTAAGATTGAATCCAACCATTAACCCAGCACTAAATCAAGCCCCTAGCACAGAGTCATCCAGCTCCCCTTGGTGACACTCCCAACCCCAAACTCTGGCTCTGGGACTGCTTCAGAGAGCACCCAGCCCAAGCTGCTGCCCTTAGGTGCTACAGCCACAGCACTAGAAGCATCCACTGCAGGGAGAGGTGGGAAGAGAGAAAAGAGGATTTTGGAGGACCAGGCTGCTTCAGGGAGCCCATTCCACCATGCAGCTGGCGGAGAAGCTCCAAGTGCCAAACCACCACCAAGGGCAAATCCTGTGTGGAAGAGGAAGCAGCACACTTACGTTAATTATTTAATTCACTTATTATTACATTAATAATTAACTCACATTAATGCCAGGGTTGCCTCTGTCTCCTGGCTGCCCCTGGGGATGGAGAAAAGGAAGTGTGTTAGGTTGGACAAGTAGACGTAATGGTATTATAGTTTGAAGGCAGCACAAAAAACTTACTGGGGCACCTGTGAATCCAATTGTGCCATTCCCAGGAGGACCATCCTCCCCCTGGAAAAGAAGGCAGACATAGATGAGATAAAGAAATGCAGACCCCTCAGATAGCATGGCAGCAGGATGCTGGTCTTCTCAGTGTATCGCCTCAGCAGCACCACTCACCCTTTCTCCCATCAGCCCAGGGTCCCCAGGCAGCCCTGGTGCTCCAGGCAATCCCTTTGGGCCCTGGAAGGGGTAGAAGAAGGAGTCAAGCATTGCACAACATCATCTGAGCTGGGAAAACAATTACTTCTGAGCAACATGAGCCCACCATGGAGGTGTTCTGCTTATACAAGAGCAATGTGAGGATTTAGATTAAATGGCAGAAATAATTTCTTTACTCAGAGGCTGGAGAGGGCGTGGCACAGGTTGCCCAGACAGGCTATGGCTGCCCCATCTCTAGAAGTGCTCCAGGCCAGGTTGGACGGGGCTTGGAGCAACCTGGGACAGTGGCAGGTATTCCTGCCCATGGCAGGGGGTGGAACAGGATGAGCTTTAATGTCTGTCCCAACCCAAACTGTTCTAGGATTTCTATGAAAGCCAACAGCTGGGCTTGACTTCCATTTGCTCCCTTCCCTAGGGATCAAACCTGCTGGCAGATTCAGGTGGCTGCCCTCAGAGAGCATCTTCCCCGTGACAGGAAGTTGTGTGGTTTGTGGTGTGGCTATAACCTGAGAAATGACCTGTGGGGGGTGGGGGAAAAGGCAGCTGTGGCCTTAAGAACCCATGGAAACACCTGGATGTGCCTGCCAGGAAGCCAGTACTGGAGTCTGTAGCGATAGGTTCAATAGGGTTCCAGTATCCACAGGATTTGGGGAATGCCCTAAGGGGCAGCACCTGCTGCTTGTCCCTGCATCCCCTCCCTGCAGAAGGCGATGATGAAGCAGCACTGACCTCACTGCCGGGGGGGCCGTCATCTCCCCTGTAGCCTTTGGGTCCTGGGGGTCCGGGCTCACCCTAGAGAAACACAGAGAGCTCTCTCAAAGGGGTTTTCTCTTGCTGCCGCTGCTGCTCTGAGGGACTGGTCCCTTTGTTTCGTGATTTGATGGGTAGAGCCACCCATCGGTGAGTCAGCTCCACCTTGAACAGCCCCAGAAAGGACCTATAGATGAGGGTTCTTATCTATAGATGACTAGGGGAGGTGCTTCAGAAGCTGTGCCTGCCTCCCCCTTTTCCTCCTTCCACCCTGGTGCCATTTTCTCTGCAGAGCCCACTGAGAGGTAGATCCCGTCTGAACATAACCAAACCCAAAAGTTTTCTGGGCCAAGGTGTGACACCGCAGGTATGGACTGAGCATCATGTGCTTTCAGTAGCAGCCAAGACCCCCAAAGCCATCCCTCTCATTCAGAGCTCCCCTCAGTAACAGAGGACCTAGTGGGAAGAGGACCAGGGAGGATGGTATGATGCTTTCCAGCATCAAAGCACAGCTGTGTGGCACAGTGGCACCTCATCGGCTGTGACAGAGGACAGTCCTTGGTGCAAGCACATCACCCTGAAGGTGACACAAACCTCCCGTGCCTCACAGCTTGGACACATCTTGGTCACAGCCAGGGTGGCTCTGGGGAGTTTCTGTCCTCAAGAGGCTGCAGAGCCCTGTCAGCGTGTGCTGGAACAGACCAAAGCTGTCACGCTTCCACATCTCATCTGGGCAACAGCTGCTCACTCCGCCAGCTGTGGGGCTGGCCAGAGACAGCATGAAACAGGAGAGGGGACAGGAGAAGGGTTCTTTTCTCTGAGAGCTCCACTGACACCCAAGGGAGCCCCTCCACCTTCTGCTCAGTGCCCACAGCCCTTGCAGGGTTTGCTTTCCGGGAGGTGGGATATGGTATTGGACAATGACTGGGTAGACATCAAATGTTCAGGCAGCATTTCACGTGGAACTAGGTGTGCAGCCAGTCCCCAGGTAATGGAGAGGTCACAGAGGGACGCAGAGAACTGGTGCTGAACACCCGTACATGCTGTATGCACCCTTCTTCCAAGAAAAGGTGTCCTTGTGGGTCCAGAAATCTTAAAATCACACAGTGCAGAGCTCCAAACTGCTCTGAGGCATGTGACCTTATTTCTGCACAAAAGCCCAGAAGAGAGAAATCTTGGAAGGAAGGACAGGAACTTGTGATCCTTCACGCCAGCCAAGGCTGGAGCCACGGCACCCTTGGCTCACACTTGGCTCACTCTCATCTTCACTGCAGCAGCACAGTGGAAATCCCTCATGGCCTCAGAGTAGTTCATGATGGATGACAGAGGATTTTAGGTGAGGAAATCTTGTCCAGTACTTCCCTGGGTGCAACAAGGACCCAACAGAAGGGACAGGCACTATGGCCAGGAATAGAGAAGGGTTACCAGACCTGTCCACGAAACTCAGGGAAAGAGTGTGCTGGCCTTTAGCTTCTCTCAGATAGAAGCAGGATGAAAGGGAGTCATAGATTAGTGGGGGCACGTTCCCCTTGCCAAGAGGAAGCACACTCCAAGGTCCAGAGCTTGCAGATAATATGGCTTGAAAAATACTTGTGTTTGCCAAGGTCCCACTCTTACTCAAACCTAATTATGCATTTATTTTTAATTTGGCCTAACACAAGCATTCTTCTTCAGCTCATAGAAAAATCATACTCACTTTGCAACTGCTTTTCAAATCTCCCTGGAATGGTGGAAGTGCTGGGACAGCCTCTGGCCTAGGGAGGCACCGGAGCTGCTTTTGTAATGCTTCCCTCTCTGACAGGGGTTTGACTCAAGTTCAGTGGTGGGGAAGGAAAACTCATGGCCCACAGGCTCAGTGACAGCAGGGAGAGACCATTCTTTTTCTTTCTCCCCAACAGGAATAGCTGGCTGGAAGCAGGGTCTATCCCAGGCTGGCTCCCTACCATGCTTGCATCAAATTTCTGTCTTCTGCATGGTCTTTTTCCTCCTTTGAACCTGGAATGTGCTTCTATCACACAGAGAGCAGCTCCATCCCCAACCTCTTTGCTGGCACCAGCCTGCAGCACTGATCAGTGGATCATTACACGCACACATCCAAAGAGCTGCCTTCCCACCAGGGCCACCTCCTAAAAAGATACCTGAGCAAGCTGGATGCTGCCAGACTCTCTTTGGTTGCAGCAGGATCTCAGCTCCACTTCAGGATCTGGGCAATATCAGAGCAGTAGGAGCTAGACAATCCTCCTGTGGGGATTTGGTGCTCTTCACTAGCCTAAGGCAGGTTCAAGGGAAGCCCAGCTCCAGGCAAGCACAAGCATGGCCTCTCTCCAGGCTGTGGCACAGTGCAGGTCTCATGTGGGAGTCACCCATGCTGGGGACAATATGAATGCAACAGCCACCACTTCATGGCTGTTCTGCACTCCAGATCTTCTCCAAGGGCTCTTCAACACCTGGCCAAGCAGAAAGGAGTTTAAAAACTGTCTTGTATTTGTCTGCACGCTGGCCTCCATGCTTCACCTCTTATGGGAGTCCTGCTCTGCCAGTGTGGGAGTGTTTATCTTGATATGTTCCTTTATCTTGGGATCCACCAAAACTCCGATGGTGTAAGTAGAGGGGGAGTTGTTCTACAGAGCCCAATCCAAGGGTGATGTCAAAGTGTGATTGCTCAGGTGCAAAGATCCTGTTGGCCATTACAATTAGTGCCATGGCCATGAAGGATTGACCCAGCAACACCTCCAGACCACAAGTTATCAGCTGGGAAGAAGGAGCCTTCAGCTGTGCAGGCAACAGAAGCCTTCTTCAGGCTGGAGGTTGTCACCCTGAAAATTAAACCTTCTGATAATGTTTTCATAGTTTTAGTTACTTTCCCATGAAAGTCCTATAAACATAAGTTGTTTTTCATATTCCTTCTAAGAAACGCACTTTGATGGATGTTTCTCATGACCAGTGTGCTTGGGAAGGTGGCAACTTAATTATCCAATCCCTGGTTATTGTCGAGAATCTATAAATACTGGAATCAGAGAATGAAGGCACAGGTTTTTGTTCTGACACTGGGAGTGTTCGTGTGAATCATTTTGTGTCCTTTAGTGACAGGAGGTGGCCAACCCTGCTCCCCAGCAAGCCTGTGCGGTCCGAGATCTGTTCCTTGAGGCACACAAGGCACAGGCAGACCCCAGAGCAGGAGGGCCATGCCTCACAGTCAGCAGACTTGAGGAACACTGGCTCTGGGAGAGGCTGTCTCTGCAGGATGCCAAAGGTGTTAGGGACACCGCTGGAGGCCATGTCAGGATATCCTCACCAACACAAGATGTCTCACTGACACCCCTGACTGAGGTGAGCAGCTTCTGGACCCAGGCCTGAACATTTTGTGTGTGGTTGCAGCTTGCACTTGCCAGTTTCCAGTTTTGTCAGATGTGTTGACATGTTTCCATGGGACTGGGAAATGGTGTGCAGGTTGTTCTGCCACAGCCCAGCAGCCAAGTCTCCATTATTTTGGCCCTGTTCATACCCTGGGTTCTCATAGAAATCCCCGCCCTTCTTCACCAGCTTTGCTTCCTGGTCTGGAAGATGCTGGGAAGTCAGCCCAAGATGCTGTGGCATCAGTTAAACCCCCTATCCCACTCTCCGTGGTGTGCCAACCACTTCCATCTGGGATCCAGAAAGTTAAACCAAGCTCTTACCTGGTCGCCAGGTGGTCCAAGGGGTCCTTCCCGCCCTTGGTCACCAGGTGGTCCGGGCTCTCCCTGAAATGACACACAGAGGGCATGAGAAGCACAAAGAGGAGCAGGTGTAAGTGCAAAGGAACCTGTGTGCAGTGGGGAGCAGTGATGCAGCACCCACAGTGGGATGGAAATGTAGTCATCCAAACAGGCAGGGGTTTGAGGCAGATTCAGGAATTGAGTAGGGAACTGTCAGAGGTGGAGGGAGATAAAGACAGGCTAGTGTGGCCACCTTTAATCCAAGACAGCCCTTTTCCTTTTAGGAAGGCTTTGTGAAGCTTGCATCCAGGTGACATTTTCCAGCCCGTTTTGTGCCAGAAAAGCAAAAGTGTGGAGAGATTCATCTGCAGATACGCAGACCTGGCCCAGGAGCCAAACCAGTCACACTGCACCTATGGCTGCTCTTCTAGAGCAGCTCCTGCCCTGGGAAGTCTGCATGGAGAGGAGCACAACTTCCTGGATAGCTGCATCCTTCCTCCAGCCTGCCATCCTTATGGAGCTAAGGGGATTTCCATGGGAATGAGCCACAAATGAAGAGAGAGACACCCTCACCTCTCACTGGCAATGTTCTCCCCTCTCCTTTGCTAAAACTTTGCTAACCCTGAACCAGGGCTGTTTGCAGAGAACTGACAGCCCGGAAGGCTACAGAAAACAAACCTAAGTCTCAGTAGTTTTGCACCCCAAGAGTTCCAGTAGAAGGAAATATCCCACAGACATGGCTCAATTCCCTTTCCCTGAACAACCTTCCACCAATCCAGCATTTGCATCCCAATAGGGCAGTGTGCCTACCAAACTCAGGCTTGCTCTGCAGCACCCTCCCCATCCAGACCCATAGCCAGGAATGAGCAAGTCAGGGAGGCAGAGAAGAGGGGAATTTGAGGGAAGTGGATGAGAGGTTGGTGACCTAATGCTGTTGTTTGCAACCTAGAAGTGTCCAGATGCATAAGCCAAAAAGCAGATATAAAGCACAACTTCCAAATGGCCCCGAGACGTTCCTGGCGAGATTACACAGCCTCATTCTTGGACTCTTTGGAAGGAAGCAGCCCATTGTCTGCTGAACAATTTAACTTCAGGATACTGGCATGCTTCCATCTCCCGCACATCTGCCCCGCACACCCCATGTGGCAGCTCTGACACTCCCTGAGCAGTAAACAGGAAATGGGAGGTTGCCATAAGCCCCCTGCCAGAGCTGCCCCCTCCCCAGTGCAGACCTCTGCCCCCCTCCAAGCTGGTGCTGGGCTCTGGCTGTTCTCACTGCAGGGACAGGGGATGAGTGGTGCAACGGTGGATGGGGATATGGGATGCTGCTCTGGAATGGCCTGGCTCTCACCACCCCCACCCCGCACAGAGCACCCACTGCCCCTCCCTGTGATGTGTGACATGGCTGTCACTTGCCACATGTTTGTCCTGATCTGCTGAGAGTTCCTGCCTGTCCCTCCCATGCTCATGCTTGATGACTCACCCCAGCAGGCTGGAAACATACTTTCCTAGTGACTCCCACTCAAAAGGGGAGGGAAGAGTGTTCCCACTTCCATCCACACCCACTCATGCTGCCCTGTTGTTGATTGTACCTGTGCCCTCCTGCCTGAGCCACTGGTAGCCCACGCAGCCCCTGAGCACCCAGAGGAGGACACCTTGATTCTTTCTTCTCCATTAACTAGTTTTCCAGCTGTGAGGAAGGAATTGACAGCTGTTCACCTGCTCTTGGCTTGCTGGGCATGCTCTCCTCTGGATTTTGGCTGTTTGGTGATTACCTGCCAGCATAAAGGGGCAATTTCTGGGGAACAGCAGCAGGTCCCTCCCAAACTGGCAGGTCAAGGCACTGAGCTTGCCTGCTGGCTCACAGGCTGGTGGAGTTAGCCACCAGACACCTATTCCCAGCCCCTGGCTTCCAAGCATCACCCCACTTGCAAGCAGATGCTGAAGGCTGCCCTGTGGGTGCAGTTACCAGCTCTCCTCTTGGCCCGCGATCACCCGGTGAGCCTGGGGGTCCTCTCTCTCCATTGCTGCCCTGCAAAGAGAGGGTAGCATCACAAAGTCAGGGCCTGCTCCCTGCAGGGCAAACCCCTCCCTCACTGCCCACCTCTGAGTAGGCTCAGCCCCAGGCCCCATCCTCCTCTGCCAGAGGGTACTAGCCCCTGCCCTGGGCAGAGGCATTCTCACTTACCCGTTCTCCAGGAGGACCATCCTCACCTAGAGCACCCTGTGGAGAAATGAGAGGGGTGGTCAGGGGCTGGGGATGGCCAGTAAGCGCACACAGGGGCACTACAGATGGACAACTCACCTCATCACCAGTCTCTCCTGCTGGTCCAGGCTCACCCCGGTTCCCAGGAGCGCCCTGCAAGGCACCAGGGATGCAAATGAGAAGTCAGACAGTTCAGGAGCAAAGCCCTGCACACTTGAAGAGCTTTGGGCAAGCTCTGCTTCAAAGCCCAGGCTGGAGCAGGAGTCCTCTCACAGAGAGCAGAGGATGTTCACACAAGGGTGCTTCTTCACCCACCTTCTCTCCAGGGTTGCCAGGAATCCCCTGTCGGCCAGGCTTTCCGTCATTCCCGGGCTCCCCCTGCACAAGAACACAAGGCATCATCAAGACTGCATCCAGCAGTGGATTTCAGCTCCCACAGCACAGAGGCTGTTAGGAGCCACAGTCCACCCCAAGCTTCTTTCTGGATTGTGGTGTCTCCCCATCCTAGCAGTTCCCTCCCTTCTCCACTCCCAGTGAAAGCCACCTTTTCACAGCACTCCCCTGATATCTCAGGGAGCCTTTGTACCAGGCTTGTGGGCACACTGTGGGTGATGGGAGCCATCCTCTAGTGAAGAAGCCAGGTTGGACAGGGCTTGGAGCAACATGGTCTAGTGGAAGGTGTCCCTGCCCATGGCAGGGAGTGGTATGAGGTAGACTTTAAGGTCCCTGCTCATCCAAACCATTCTGATTCTGTGATATGCTTTCCCCAAACAGTGCAAGGAATTTCCACCTCTTCCTCCTGCAGAAGAGGGGTCCCAGCATCCCTCCTCTGTGTGAGGATGGGCACAGCAGCTCACCTTTGCTCCCTTGGGTCCAAAAGCACCAGGATCTCCCTTCGGTCCAGGTGGGCCTTGAGCTCCCTGTTGAAATTAAAGGCAGCATCAGTGAAACCTGAACTGGTGACACCATCTGCAGGAAACTGGGCATGGACTGAGCATCCCAGCAGCCTGGCAGGTGGCCGTTGGGATGGACAAGAGGGACATGGCCAGAAGGGACTCCTACACCACGGAGCCATGCAAGAAATGCTGCACCCACATTGCTGAAACACTTCTGAAGCTCAGAGGAAAATGGCAGAACAGGTGCTTCTGGGCTGCTGTAGCTGTGCTGTAGCTGCAGCGACACCCATGCCACCATAAGTGTGGCATCCCGGGAGCATGGAAAAAAACAGGGAAACTGGGGAAATGCAGTGTCAGGATAACGTTTTCCAGAGCTGCATCCCAGGCAGCCCCAGGGCAACTGGGGACAGCTTCCACGCAAGGACTAGGTGGACTGCCTCAGGGTCAGCCCCAAGGTGCCATGCTTGGGATAAACATTATAGATTTCCAAGCAATTCCCTATCTCCCCACATCATCATGGCAGAGCTGTTCACTTGCATGCAAGGGGCACCCACAGGGTACCTACATCGAATCCAGGTGAGCCCTTGCAGCCAGGTAATCCGGGGTATCCAGCTTCACCCTGTCAGGCAGCCAAAGCAGGGGTCCCCAGTAAGTGACACTCATGGGAAAACCCCATCCATCATCCCAGAGCCCTGGAAGAGACATTCCAGCCCCATCCCTGGCTGGCAGATGGATAGCCCTGCAGGGAGGGAATTCCACTGCCCCACAGGTATCATCCCCAGACCCCACAATGGTTTTGGAGGGGCAAAAGCCTAGCAAAGTGCCCTGGAGCAGGGATTTACCTTCATGCCATCAATGCCATCGATTCCACGTCTGCCTTTCTCACCCTGAAACAGAGTACAAGGACCATGAAGTGATTCCCAAATTCCCAATACCTCCCAAACATCAGAGAAAAATGGTACAAAAGCAGAGTCTGACCTTGGCTCCTTTGGCTCCTCTTGAGCCCTGCAGAGGGAAGGAGAGAGGTTTCAGATGTCCACTGAGACCAGATCCATCCCCCCACCTCAGTGCAGTCCCCGCACCAGCTCAGTCTGAGGGTGCAGGCATTCACCACTCCTCTGCACACCGCTGGATCCCCAATCCTGGATCAGGCAGTGCCAGCAGGAGGGGTGGATGTGGGAGCACAGAGCAGACCCCAAGACCACGGAGCTGCAGCGCCAGTCCATGCATGGGAACAGAGGGATCTCCCCCAAACATCCTTGCTGTCCTCACCTTTTCTCCTCGGCTTCCTTTGTCACCCTAGAGAGGAAAGGAGCAAGGGAAATGGCAGAATGAGAACACTTGCAGCACAAAGCCTGTGGCCTACCTCTGAACCACATCTTTAAGCCTGTAGCCCCACATACCTTCATTCCTTGGTAGCCAACAGGTCCCATGTCTCCTGGCCTGCCCTAGGGGACAGAAGCACAGTCTTACAGCAGCAGATACAGTCGCCACCATGGGGACAGCATCCCCCCAGACTCTTGATACAGGGCTCAGCTGCCATTCTCTCAAACAGGAGTCTCTCCCACAACTCTGCTCCTTGTTTTCCTGGTCTGGGAGTGCGAGGTTGTTGTGGAGGGCCAAGAGGATCTGCCTTCACCTCCACCATCTCCAGCTCTTCAGGGAAGTGAGGGAAACTGGGTGCTTGGGGACATGTCATTGGGGATGTAAGGCAAGGGCAGAAAACCCTTGGGAAGGAAAAATACATGGCACAGGGTTTCCAATTTGGGAATACACAAGATGGGTAACTGCACACTCGTGTGTGGGAGAAATGTGCCTCCCAAAAATAAGTGTGTCTAGTAAAATAAAAGAGAGAGGAGGAGGAGAAGGAGGAGGGAAATAGTTTCCTCATACTCTCAGGTTATTTACCAAAGGTTTCCATGTAACACTGCTGTGCTTGTTGTGTCAAAGGATGCGGGAGGGAGCCCAGAGTCCACCCCTGGGCTGGCACACATGAGTCAGAGATGTGTCCTGCAGGAGGGACAGCTATTTTGGGTGAGGAACAAGGAAGCCTTGTAGCAAGAGGAGGAGCCACCCCACTGCACAGCATGACTGCACAGCCCATGGAAACAGGGTGATGCTGGTGAAGATGTGCCTGAGAGGTCTGGCCAGAAGCAGCCAAAAAACAGCCCCAGTACAGTCATGAGGGCTGGTCCTTCACTTACTGGGTCTCCAGCCTCTCCTTTCTGGCCGGGAAGACCTGGCTTGCCTCGTTCTCCCTGCAATACAGGACAGAAACACAGTTAGTTCATCATCCCCAGGAACAGCAAGATGACCTGTTGAAAGAAGAGCAGGGAGGATGGGAGCAGAAATGCTCCATGGTTACAGGGAGCAGATGGTGCTGGCCACATGGGAGCATGGTGTGGGTCCACACCCCACAGGTGACCTTGGAGGCCTTTTGCAACCTTCATGGTGCTATGATAATGATTCCAGGTCTCTGAGCATCCCCAGCGAGCCCATCCCACTGCCCCAGTCCCACAGCATAGCCACAACCACTTCCTCACCTCATGGCCACGGTCACCAGGAGGTCCGAGGGGCCCTCGGGGAGGCTATAGGAGAGAGATTTGGGTTAGACCAGCCTGAGACACAGCCTGGGACCACAGAGATAAGATGAAAGGGGACAGGGCTCTCAAAAGCCTGACTCACCTGGCACTCAAAGGAGCAGCACTGCACAGAGGGAAGGAGAAAACAGCATTAGAGGAGGGGGCAGCAGCAGGGGCAGGCTGCATCCTGCTTGGGGAGGGCTTCCCAGGCTGACAGGGGTTGCTGCAGGGCAAGGCTGTGCCACCAAGCCCCACTTAGCCGTGGGACACCCACAGGTGACAGGCTTGGTCTCAGGGGGACACTCACCGATTGCTCCGTGTTGAGTTTCTGCAAGACAAGAAAGCAAAGGGAAGGGGTTTGAGAGGGGCAGGGGGGCCTGGGGAGGGGGCAGCCTGGGGAGGGGATGAGCAGTGCTCACAATCATGTCTATGATGGTGTTGATGGTCTCCTCCACATCTATTTCCCGGGTGGGCTTCAGGCTGGTGGCAGTGAAGTTGCGGCGGTAGGCGTGGTCTGTGGCGATGATGTTCAGCCGCTGGTCCTGGGGGTGGGGAGGGCAGAATGAGACCTGCGGGCACCTGTGCAGGCTCTGAGTGCCCCTCCTTTATCACACTGAGGCTCTCATGGTCCCACTGAGGACCCCTGCTAGGAGCATCCCTGCTGTGTGGTTCCTACCAAGTGGTTGGGGGAGATGGCAACAGAGAACACTTTGATCCCCAGGAGTTTGGCTTCATTGGCAGCATCATCCAGGCCTCCACAGGGCTCCTTGTAACCTTCCAAGGGATGTCCATCAGTCACCACGATCAGGTACTTATTCTCCTTGTGATGGGACCCACTGGAAGGGTTTAAACACAGGATTTAATGTTGAAAGGCATTAGCCAGAGAGGAGTGGTTTGGACACCTGGGGACACTTGCCCCAGACAGTGCCCCAGCCTGTGGTCAGGGTGTGCCTCATCTCAGCAAAGCTGGAGCAACTTTGCCACCCGTCTTCACACCGTGACCTCTCTTTCCAGTCTGGGGACAGCTCTGCACAATGCACAGGGACTTCCCAACCCAGAAGCTTCCACCCTACACCCACCAGAGCCACACCACCCCCACCCCACCACGGCCTCGCTGCCTGACCCAATGAGCAGCTCCTCGATGCCGCGCTTTATGGCACAGTCGGTGTAGGTGCCCTTCCCGATGTAGTTGATGGCCGACACGCGGTTCTTCAGCTCGCTCTGCCCGCTGGGCATTGGTGTGAGGCTCTTGATGAGCACCACCTCATCACTGTAGTGCAGCGCTCCTGCGTTCCACACCAGGTTGCGGTCACAGCGGTAGTACCTGCATGGACACGCCAGGACATGGGGTTCGCTTTGCTCACACCAGCACAGGAAATGCAAATCCTCTGCAGAACAGGGATTTGCCAGGGCTCCCTGCTCTCCTGCAAAGCTGGGACATGCTTCCCATGCAAAGCACAGCATGGAACCCCAGGGCAGCTTGTCCCATGGGTGGAAGAGCAAAGTGATGCAGTGGGTGGGCATCTGTAGGGATCAAATAGCTTGGCAAAGAGGCTTCTGGAAGAGGTGCCAGGGACTGGAGCGGGGCAGGAGGGGCTGAGCCAGACAGCCAGGTGTGTGTGTGTGTGTGTGCGTGTGCAAGGCAGGTAACCACTGAAATGCCCTGCAAAGAGGTTTTCCATTGCCAGTGTTAAAATCAGAGAGGGATGCCTCTCTTGGAAGGATGCTCTGGCCTGGGGAAGGATGAGTGTGTGTGTTGCAGCCCTGTCCTGTGCACTCATACATCCAGCACCTGTGACTCCCTGGGACAGAGACATCACCTATGCTTTGGCCACTGCCCCAAAAAAAGTATTTTCAGGATATGGGGACCAATCCCAAAGGAATATGATTTGTTTTCTCAGTAAGTGGGGGCCAGTCCCAAAGGAGTGGTGTTGCACATCTTCTCCCTGCCCAGCAGGAGCTGTCCCAAAGCCACCTGAGCCTTGTCCACTGCTGTTCCCTCCATCCCACTGCAGGACTGAGCCCAGGGCCTTGCAAAGGGGAGAGAGATGCTGCACTGATGGAGGCCTGGCAAGTTGTTCCCAAGCACAAGGCTCCTGGTCACTCAAGGCCCTGTGAGACAACTCTCCTTCCTGGGCAATGGACAGGTGAGCTGTTAACCCCCTCCTGCCCATCCTGAGATAGGACATTGCCCTTCCAGCTGGTGCAGCACTGGGACATCCCCACAGTGCCCTTCTGGGCACCAATCACATTTCCCACTGCCCTGAGGATCTCAGCGAGACCCACGTGCCTCCAGGACTTGTGGTGCTCCTGTGCATCCCTGGATCTCCTGCCTGCAATCAAGCCCAGCACCACCCCCTCTGGGATCCGGGAGCTTTGGTCCTCCTGAGCATCCCTGGGTGGCCTCCCATTGGGAAAGCCAGGGTCAGACTGGGGGTGGTGGCTGCGGAGGTGGGTGAGGAGGAGGCAGATAAAGACCTGGGGAATGGAGTGGGTAAGTGGCACGCAAAGCTGGGGTGCACCAGTGGCAACAGAGGGTTTGCTCTGCAGGGTGCCTGTGAGTGCTGGGTTTAATCCCAGAGGTGTCCTGCTGCCAGCCACGCAGCTGGCTGGTTCTGGGCCTGAGTACAGAGTACCAAGTACTGCCTTGGCACTGCACAGTAACCACACAGCCACCCGGAGGTGGTGGGATTGGGCTACCATGTCAGCTGCTCCAGCAATTCCTGTCTTTCCCGAGGGTGGGTGCAAGCAGCCCTGGTAGAGCAACTGCTGTCAGCACAGACAGAGCCAAAACAGAGCAGCCGAGAACCTGGAGAGGGAGGAGAGGCTCCCCTCCCCAGCATCCCTGCTTTCCTTCTTTCTTTCTGTGGACAGACACACCAGGGGGATCTCAGTATCCTGCCCAGCAGCAGGCTTCATCCCCAAAGCAGTCCAGATAAACCCTCAGGGGATATACCTCTGGGTCAGCTTATCAATGAACCGGTTGGTGAAATCTTTCACTTGGGTAACCAGGTCCCCAAAAGGCTTCACCCTCAGGGCAACACTCTCTGAGGTGTCCAGGACGAAGAACAGGTCCACAGGGCAGTCTGGGAAGAAGCGGAGAGGCAGGAATTGACATGCGGTCCTGCTGCGTCGCCTCCCCCTCCCAGGCTTCCCGCACTGCCCACCCCATTTTCCTCCTAGCAGGCTCCTGGGTTAGGGGCTAAGGGGAATGCTTTCACATCCTAACCCCCTGGACATCAAGAGTAAGCAAGATCACTTTTCCTCAAAGCATAATTTTGTGGCATCTAACACTTTCCTATACTTTCTTCCCTGTTTCCATTCAAAGGATATCTTTGGAAGATCTATACTACTTACTATACCAAATAACATGCAGCTGCAGGAACCACTCAAAAAAAAAAAAAAAAAAAAAAAAAACCATTTTAGCAATTGATGCAAAAAGAAAGTAAAAATTTTCTGACACTTCCTGCCAAAAATATAATTTTAAGAAAGAGCACTAACATAAACTTCCCTTACGAGCCAGCATCCCACTCAAAATAGTTCAGAAAGCTGGACTGGTATCTGCTGTTATCCCCTTCTCCTGCATCCCACTGCTACTGCTAACTCTTGACCTGACAGAGCCAAGGAGAAAGAGCCAAAAACCACAAAAGTGGGTACTTCTTGCAGATCCTCTCTAATCCTTCACTGCACTCCTCAGCAAGCCCAAACGTCCTGACAAATCTGCAGTGTGTCAGCAGCAGAGGCATGCGTCCCAGAGGGAAACAGCAGTCGGGCTTCTCTGCTGATCCTGGGAAGGAAAAGCACCCTGGAAAGCATTCCAGTCTTACCTTCTGCACTTGAGACTTGGGTGATGATTTCTGGGCGCTGAGCACATGAGCCCCCCCACAGGAATCCGGCTGGGAGCAGCAGAGTGAGCAGAAAGTCTTGCAGCCTCATATTTCTTGGTTCAGATTACCATCGAGCTGGATCCAAGGAAAAAAGCAGAGAAGGAGAACCCAGCAGCTGAGCGAGGCTGCGGTCCGGAGGCAGGAGTCGCTGAAGATTTTTTTTACCGCTTTCCCCTTGGTTTCTGTGGGAGGAAGACTTAAGGGTGAGGAGGAGACTTCTCCAGCCTGAGGACGGAGGGAGGGATCAGGGGGTGTCAGCTGTGAGTCAAACTTAGGCAGCATTTCTCCTTACCCTTTATATGTATGTCACTGTACCTACAATGGCAGCCTGGCCACCGGTGGCTGGGACCTCCACAAGCCTCTCAGAGAGCCCTGGATCAGGCGGCGTCCAGCCTTGGGGCTCAGCCCGCTCAACAGCGAGGCTTGGGGCTCCTGCCAGCACTTTCCTCTCAGCTCCTGGGCAAAGAGAGCTGCAACAGGGGGACAGGCATTTCCATCACGTCCCAACCTGTACGAGAGCTGGCCTGGGTTCTGCCAGGGGAGTCCCCACTGTGCGGCACAGCTGAACCTGGCCCAGGCATGGGGACACCATGGAGGCACAGCATTTTTGGAGAAACGCTTTCTTCCCTGACTTTCAGGGCTTTCTGCTCAAGCCAGTCAGGAGCAGGAGAGGCTTATTCCTGAGGAGGAACCCCCAGGGGCACCCCAGAGTAGGAACAACCCCTCTCCCCAGGGCCACGCTCAGAGCAGGGAGTTGGGAACGGGTCAAAGCTGTCAAGGCCAGGAGGTAGACGCAGGAGCACAACTCCTTAGGGATATCTGGAGATGAGCATCTTCCCACTCTGTAAGATGGCAGGAGAGCCTGGGGACCTCTACAGCAAGGTGGTATCTACTATCTACTCTTTATGGCCAGAGCTGGAGACAGTGCTGGAGAAGTCCCAGGTCCTGTCAAACCCCCCATCCCAGTGGGAACATTATTTGCTATGGAGGGTTGGGGGAAGAGGTGAAATACCTTAGGGCTGACCCCAGTACAGCTGCAGCTGTAACTTGCTCCTAAAAGCACAGGAGGGCACCAAAAGCTGTCATTAAATAAAACATTGATGGCTCCAAAGAGCAGAGTCAACAACACAAGCCCAGCAGGCACAAACTGTTTGCTCCCAGGCTGTTGGCAGGAAGGCAGCAGGAGACCTGTCCCACTGGGGGACTGTGCAGGGCTACTGCCACCTCTGTCACCCTGCCTGTCATCTGACAGCATCTTTGTGGGGATGGTCAGGAGGAAATGTTGCAGGTTTGCCTGTCAGCACTCCAAGTTGAGACAACTCAGAAGAACCCAGAAGCTCCACTGATTACAAGTTAAAACAGTGAAGGAGCTTGTCCACTCTACACAGGCAGATACATCAAATAACGACTCTTTGGATAAACAGCATCCAAAACCAGCAGAAAATAATCTGCAGACTGTGCTGAACTGAAGCCTCATGAACCCAAAAAACTTCAAGCACCTTTTTTTTAGCTCCAACACTAATTTACAGAATAATCTGAGTTGGAAGGGACCATCAAGGATCATCAAGTCCAACCAGCCACCCAGGCACTGAGGTGTGTGGGCTTTGCCAGGATGCACAGGTGGCACCAGGATATGAGGGCACCGCAAGGCAAATTTTCACAACATCTCAAACCTACTGAAGATGCTGTCCCGGAGCACAAGTGTGCCCAGGGACAAGTCCTGCTGCCTGACACTTCATGGCTTTACCAACACACCTCCTCGGGCTACCATAAGGGAACTCTCCCGGGATTTTGAAAAGCAGCCAGAAAAGGGTTGCTGGGAAGGGACCTGTCTTCATGCATCAGCTCAGCAGAGTCATTTCCTCTAGCTTTCTCCCTTCCTCACTCCCCTTCTTTCATAGGGGAATATCCCAAGCAGAAGAAGAGCCTACCTCCCCTTGCCTGTGGGCAGGGAAAAGCAAACCCCTTTTGGGAGCAGCTCTGCAGAGCTGGAGCAAGCTGGAGGCCAGCTGGCCGTGTCAGCAAAGACTTAATGATCGTGGTATGGCCTGTGCAAGGCGCCTGCTGACCATACAAGGCGCTGAGCAGCTGCAGCCTGTCAGACCCCGTGTGCCCCAGGAAGCTCCCCCTACCCCGCTGGGGACCCCAGTCCCTGCCTGGAGCCCAGCCTGGGCCCCCAGGGCTGTCATCAAGCACAATGTCCCAGGAGCATCTGACCGGATTGCTGGACTGGGGTGTTGTCTCCCTTCCAAAGCTTTAAGTCATTGTCTTTCCCAGGTCTGTGGTGCTAAACCACAGCCAACAGCTAGCAGTGTCCCCAGGACATTGAATTGCCATTTCCTTGGAGGAGTGTGGGCTAGTTTTGCAAGAAAAAATCTGCTCCCAAGTCACTGGCACTAGCAGCATGTCATTGTGTCCCAAAATCCAACAACACGTGCCTGTGGAGGATGTCCCCATTCCCTTCCTCTTCAGATAAGGCCAGGGACATTGAGCCCTATAGCTCTGTCTCCCCTGACGGGAGCAGGGGACCTCCTCTATCTATCAGCTTCCCTCTGGAGTGCTATGAAGATGAGCAAGGCACCTCCAGAGTGCCTATATTCCCCAGGGGATGGGTGTTCCCCTTCCCCACAGCACTGCACTAAACTTCCAGTCCCATTCCAGACCAAACTGGGCGCTGAAAAAATTAAAAAAGTGCACTCAGGACAGAATTTTTGCTTCTTCTCCCAGAGACTGAGAACAGAATGAGTTTGGTCTGTTTTTCTGATATTAACTCTTCCATGTAACCTTTTCTTCTTTTTAATCAAATCCACTTGGAAATGGAAAATTGTGCTAACATAATAAACATGGAAAGGAGCTGAAATTAATTCCCATTGGAAAAGCCAGGATTGAACCCATCAGTTCAACATACAGAACCAAAGGGTTCTTTGGAAAGCAGGGAAGGACCAAGCACCAGGTTGCAGCTGGGGCTACTTTGTCCCCTCAGATAGTGCTGGGAGATGCCCCAGTTAGGGAACACTGAAATTTCCCTGGTTGTAACCACACAAAGCACACCAGTGCCCTGCCAGCTGCCTGAGTCATCTTTGTCACCTTCTCCCCACTGCTGGGGATGTGATGGAGCTAGTGATGGAAATGTTTGGGATGATGGATATTCCCATGTGTCTGGTTGCCAGGGGCTGCAGCAGCTCCCCAGACTGGCTGTAGGACCTCAAGGTGTCTGTCTCAGCCTCCATCCCAGTGTCCTCCCCATCTCCATGCTCAGTTGTGCACCACTGGAGCAGCCATGCTGTGAGCCCACTGGAAAGAAAGTGGCTTGTGGTGCTTCTGCATGTAATTCAGCTTCCCACAGTGGATCTCTGCAGGAGGAGGCAGCAGAGAAATCCCTCTGAGCAGGATAACATCACCTCTCCCAGAGGTGCCTTGGGAGAATCTCACCATGGCAGAGTGGGCCTAGGCAGCACCTGAGGAGGGTCTGGCATCCTCCCACCTGCAAAAACCCAGTGGAAGATACAACCGATCTTCCAAATGCCTTGACAGTCCTACGAAGCATCCCCCTGGCACCCTTTCCTTGCCAAGGGCTCAAAGCCACCCCGGAAGACACGGCCCAGCTGGGCCATGGTGCTTCTCCGAGCCGCTGACCTGGTGTGAACTTCCCTGCTGTGCTGTGTGCCAGCTGCGGCTGAGCTGGCCGGGGGGAGCCTTCCCTCCCCTCCAGCACCGTTTGGGGCTACACTCTTCCCTTCCCAAGCCACCTCAGGGGGTCACGTCCACTCCAGCAGGGATTTCCAGCTCCCATCCATCCAGCACATCCAGGGTGTGAGTGTCCCCCTCCAGCCCACACTGCAGATCTCTTCTGTGCTGGCACAGCCAGGACACAGCATGGCTCCAGCAGCAAATCCACATCCCCACACCCAGGATGGTGCGTGCTGGGTTAATGTTTTCCCCATTACTTCACTCTGGCCTCGGTTCTTATGGAAAAAAACAAACCATCTGGTAATAATATTTCCCTAATGGCTGTCTGGGTCTGTGGGAAAGCTTGGCTCAGCTTCTTAGGGAAGATGAGAGGGTCAAATGAGAGGGGAGGTTGCAGATATGGTGTGGGAGCTGGAGAAGAGGAGATAACACTTTCAGGATCCTTTTCCTGGGCCACCCCAGCTCTTGCAGGGATCCTCAACTCACGGGGGAGCCACAGGATGCCAGGACATCACACATTTGGAATACCCCACAGTGAAAGAGTCCCACTCTTTTCTTCTGTTGCACAGTGGAGGCTTGAAGGAAAATTCACTTCTAGGGCTTCCCCCCCACCTCCACCTCCTCAGAAAATAGAAACAGCCCAAAGTGTGGAGTCTGGGGAGTTGGGAACAAAACTGGCTCAAACTGGAAAGATCAGCAACACCTGCACTGTCTTCCTGTTCTTGGAGAAAAGGCAGCACCCTGGGACATGCCACCTTCAGCCCTGGGGTCATCACTGGAGGGACAGGGGACAGAGGAGCCCCCTCTTGTGGAGCATATCCAGGGAAAACGGGTGGAAAAATGCACTAACCCCACCAGCAGCTGAGCAGGGAATATTTTCCATCCTTCTGCAATTAAAAGGCGGGGTGTGGGCGACTCCCAGGGAGTGGAGAGTGCCTGCCAGGCTGGGCACATGTTCCCTGGAGAAGGGAGGCCCCAGATGCTCGAGGAACAGCCAAGCAGCCGCCAGACATGGTGCTGCCTCCAGCTGGGGGGACTGCAAGCGCTGGTCTCTAGCCCCACGCTCCCAGAGCCCAGCCTGCAGCACCAAACTGCCAAGGGATGAGCAGCATGGGTTGGAAACCTGCTCTTCCTCGGCTGTGGATTGCAGCCCCACCCTGCATCCGTGTGGATGCAGGCATTAGACCCCAAAGCCTTGGGAAGGATGGAGAAAGCATCTTCCTTGTTGGCTGCCCTTTGCATATCTCAACTGGCTTCCTGGCACAGCGCAGCACAGAGGCAGCTGGATCCTTTCCATAGTTTTCCATGGGGATGGTCCACCCCAGCTCAGGAGCTTGCAGTGTCTAGCAAACTCCCAGAAGTCTCCAGTAGTCCCTTCTCAGGCTGTTTCTGCTCCCATTTTTATTAAGCATGCACGTTCATACTCATTAAGTTTGCCACCCCAGCAGCCATCCAGGCTTGGCGTGTGTCTGTGCCCTTCCAGAGAGCTCCCAGGATAGAGCA